GGGTCTGTTGAGGTTAGTTTCAGGTGAGTTCGGGGTTTGGTGAAGCATAAATGGTCAGATAAGATGATTAGCTCAAGCCTCAGGAGGTTTCCTTGGGTTGGGAGTTGAAGTTTGCAGGAGGAGTCGGGGGTCTCTGATGCCTTCAAGGTTTGAATGTTCGTTCTCGGGCTTTCGGGGCTTTAAGGAGTCTTGTTGTCCGAAAGGACGAGTGGCCTTCACGAGGAAGTCGGGCTCGAGGTTGCAAGTGCCATTGATCGTACAACGAAATTAGAAGTTGGAGATGTTGGAGACCCCAGCTTCGGCTTAGAGGTCCCTGAAGGAAACCCTGAACCCGAAGAACCGCTACAACCTAGCTTCACCCCCCCCCCCCCCCCAAACCATAGCTTCGGCTGCCATGCGGCTGAGCTGCTGTGGGGCTGATGGTGCTTCTTTGGCTTACCCTATATCCTAAAACCCTGAACCTCTGAATTCCAGAATGGCATAGTACTAGCCCGCTTTAGGTTTTGCACAGCAGTCGGTCGATTCGCACGATGTCGCCGGATCAAGGCTGCCTTCTTCAAGAAGTGACGTTGCAAGACTCGTCTGTTAATCGTCCTGACCGATACTTTCAAGGACAAGCCGCATATGCGGCCTATCAGATCCTCGCCCATCTCGCAGTTCCAAGCGATTGGATTAATGATCAAGGGGCCAGAACCCTGCAAGACCTGCTTGATTTCGAAGGCCAGGTGGTGCACGGCATGAAATTTGGGCTTGAGAGCGAAGTAAGTCAAGCCCAGAGCCAGGGATTGCTCGGCCAGGCTCTTATATCCAGCCAGCACAGACATCAGTCGCAGATATAAGTTCTGTGCACAGGTTCGGCGAAGCCAAAGCCCATGCGAGTACATGAGCTCGAAGGCCTTCTGGGATTCTGCAATCGTCTTCTTGAGGGTCCGAAACAAGCGGGCATGGCCCTGAGGCAAGCTTGGTCTCTGCAGAAGGATCGTGACAAAGAAAAGGATATATTGCAACAGCAGCATCGTGTCGCTTCCTTTTGTCGAGCTCCAAGGGAAGTCACTGATCTTCTTAAAGTTGAACAGCCCGGGAGAAAAGTATCTCAAAGCAGCCGTCTTGCCCGATGCCAATCGCCACAGCTTGAAGTGCTGATAGGCCCGGTTCAGCCTCGCCTTGATATTTCTTTCATTGCTGTCGCTGCCATCAGGATCGTCGTAATATCCAAGGCGGGCAAGTAAAACCAGTGATCCACAGAGATCTCGGCCCAAACCAAGTTTAAAACAATGGAACATATCGTACTTCAGAACTCCTTCAGGTGCAAGCGAGTCGAACGGTATACTGCATAAAGCAGGCGTGGATTCCCATGGTCGCTCCTGATGAAGTGTCGAAGCCCATGACGGTTCATGGGCCAGCTCATCAAAGGCTAGCTCCGGGCTCGTTCCAGCCATACAATGTGCACAAACACCATGGTAGTTCACACGGCTGAGATGGGCATAGTATCTTGTAAGATATGCTATCTTCTCTGCAATCTGTTTCAAGTCTCCCTTGACTCCCACCAAGGCAGCAGACCAGGTCTTGCCGCCAACTTGTAGGCCCGAAGAAAAAATCTCCGAAAGCTCGGCCGAGACCCGTTGAGTCATTTGTTCCAAGATTGCCGGATAATGTTTGTATGTCCAATCTGGAAGCCCAAAAAGCACATGCCTGGTGAGGTAGGAGTGGCCCTTGCATGTAGTAGTTTGCTTCAGTGCGACCTCCATCGCCGAGCACCTGGCTGGGTTTCCGTGTGGCACATACTGCGACGGTGCCCTCTTCACATCAGCTTTGCAATCACATGCCTCTGCTTTGTGCTCGTGCAAGCCTATCGGCGACTCGATAGCAACCACGACGAAGTTCCCCCGTTTCGGACCTTTGCCTTCGTCTGAATAAACCATCAGTGGCACCGTGGTTCCAAGGTCCAGGCCTCGAGCAAACACCGGATGGGTGCCGTGATAATGCTTATACATCGTCCAAAAAGCTTCCAGCTGAGTCTCCAAAGGGTCACTGCCGCCAGCGATCAAGCTAGGGTTCCGACTAATAAGATAGCTCAGCCAATCATGGACTCGTATATAAGCAGTATCAGCTCTCTCTCCTTCATCCAATTCGAAAGTTTGCTCGGCAATTGGAACAGGCAAAGATAAACCCCACCGTTTAAAGAAAGAGTGACAGTCTCGTTCCTCGTTTGGTGCCTGCCGCCTTTTCTCTTCTGGCATCTGCGGATGCAGCATCTGATTGAGACACCGTTTGGTGCCTTTCGCAGTGGCCTCGGCACACGAGGTTTGGCGGGATACGGCGAATTAAAAATATAGTCTTTGGGTTTTCTCGGGCGGGCTTAACTATGCCAAATACAATTCGGGATGTCTAGTACAGAATGTAGATGTTAAGGATTTCCCAAGTGTCCAATTTGGAGACACCCCTATCGACTCGGAAATGAGCCTGGGCTTCTGATTGCACTTCAGGTTGGGGGGTCTTCGGAATTCGGAATCCCTGATGCTGAATCACTCTCAATGCTTTGGAACTTGAGGGTGGTTCGGTCTTCATACTTCGTTGGTCTAGGTTTCGGGCTTCTGATCTTCGAGGACGGAAAGCGATCGGCTGAACCCTAGACCCTAAGCTCTACTTCTCAGATAGGAAAACAACCCCTATAAGATTAACGACTGGGTTTTCTCCTTTCTTTTGAACTGGATTGTGGCGTGGATTTCGGGAGATGCCGGTGCCTGGTTTTCAAGTTTAAGATTTGTTATGTATGGGTTTGTCGGTGTGTGCTCATTAGTGAGCCGGGAGTGAGTTACTGAACACCGAGGATTGTGTAAAACATCTTTGCATTGCTGATGTTACGAGAACACTGACTCTAGGGCTTCGGGTTGGTGGGCATGGGGGCTTCGTCTTGAGTCCAAGAAAGTGTCTGTGGATTCAAAAGGCTTAGTCCTCAAACCAAAAATTTATACCTGAATCCTTCAAGATTCTTCAGTGCCCACAAATGAAGGCTTGCCCCAACCACAAACCTTGAAGCTTAGGGTTCGGGGTTTATGGTTTAGGGTTTGGGGTTCAGGGTCCAGGGTTTAGGGGTTCAGGGTTTAGGGTCCAGGGTTCACGGTTCAGGGTTTAGGGTTTAGGGTCCAGGGTTTAGGGGTTCAGGGTTTGGGGTTTAGGGGCTTTGGGTTTAGAGTTTAGGGTTTAGGGTTTGGGGTTTAGGGTTTAGGGTTTAGGGGCTTAGGGTTTAGGGGTTTAGCACATAAAACCTTAACCCCAAGACTATAAGTCCTGCCTTACCCCTGAACCATAAATCTTCGAGCCTGAACCCTTAATGGTACTTTGGCAGCTAGAAAACTTTAGCACTGAATTACAAGCTCTAGTCCGTGAGCCCTTGTCATTTCTTTGGCAACTAGAAACCCTAAGCCCTCAACCATAAGCCACCGCCCATAAACCCGGATCCCCATCTCTGGAAGTCTAAAACAACTAAAACCCAAGTTCCAAACCCAAATCTGAGGACCCAGACTCCCTCGCCTAACATCTCGGCATATTGTGCAGCTCGACCGACATCCAGTGGGTCGTCATCGGAGCCTGGCGTGCGAGGGTAGGGTTCGGTAGGGTTGCGAACTTAGGGGTTTCATTCGGGATGTAGTTGAGGGCTGGAGCTTTCGATGCCATTTGCTTCGCGTAATGATTTAGGGCATTGTGTTGAGGGTTTCGGGTAAGGATCTGAAGGTTTCATTTGGGCTTCCGATTTTGGCATTAGCTTCTAAGGTTCCAGGAGAGGTTTGGTAATCTAAAGCCCGAATCCAGAATCGAGCTTAGGGTGTAGGATTTAGGAGTTAGGGTTTAGGGTTTAGGGTTTTCCCAGGACCTTGCCTAGCAACCTACCTGGAAACTTACCCACCAACCTAGCTACTTACCTACCTAGTTAGAACTGCCCTGCCTTGCCTACCTAACTGCATGCAATATTTTTCTGCCTGGTTCTCTACGTGGCCACTGCCTGCCTACCTACCCTACCTACTTTACCTACCTACAACCACCTACCTAACCTACCCTCACACACACACACACCCACCCACACAGATCCACTTTGAATCGCATTTCTGCTGCCACAGTCCAGTGTCCAAAACACTGCTTGACACACACACACCCACCCACACAGATCCACTTTGAATCGCATTTCTGCTGCCACAGTCCAGTGTCCAAAACACTGCTTGAAATCTCATGAAACAGCTCAGCGGTGCCTGCAACCACTTGTTGTACGACACTAGTATCACTAGTATCGTAAAGGTTAAATCCTTGGCACCGGCTGCGGAGCTGAACTCTGCTACCCTTGACACAAAACGTAGCTACTTCTTGGCGCGTTTGCCAACCGGTTCTTCATCATCATCATCATCAGCCGGCTTCCTCTTCGGGGCTGGCTTTCCTTTGGGATTCGGCTTGGCTTTGGCAGCCTTTGCTTTGGGCTCGGGCTTCTCTGCTGCCTTCGCCGGCATCCTGGGTGCAGAACATTAACATACTTCGCAAGCAGCACAAAGTCTTGAGACAACAATTGAGTTAAGACAAGAAACTTGATGGATTTCGATCGCTCATGCACCATCTCTGCCTCCACAGCCCTGGGCATTGCTACACACGACAAACACTCGAGTCCCAAAGCTGCTGAGTGCACCCATGCCAAGCTAAGCCCAGGTGCTTGGTCTTCGCCTCCTGGAAGAGCAAGCGAAGCGACTTCTGGTCCCTTGGCAGGATAGGGGGTTCAAGTGGGTTTAGGGTTTAGGGTTTCGGGTTTAGGGTTGGACTAGACTCAGGACAAGGTTCTCCTTCGTGAAGCCAGTAGCAACCCCACGACTGTAGATAGTCGTAATTTTGTCCTCCAACACGGCCACATTGTCGGTGATCGCCTTGAGGCTGTCATAGAACCTTGGGTCTTGGGTTCGTTGGGATTATACAGAAGGACACAGCACGACGACTTGGTCCAGCCACACACAACAAATTGTTTAGGCGAGGTTCTTTTCTTGGGCCGGGGTGAGCTGGGTCTTTGTTGCACCATCCGGGCACATCCTATCCATGACAGCCTCGAGCTTGCCAACTCGCTTCTGCAAGCACCCGGTCACCAGCATGCTGGCATCCTGAGGTTTCTTCGAGATCTCCGGGAATGCGATCTTCTTGAGGATGCGAGCAGCTTCCTCACCATCGTCGCTGGAGTCGCTGTCCCCCTCTTCGTCATCACCTCCCGGCTGCATTGGGGTTTAGGGGTTTAGGGGTTTACTTGGAGGTTCATGGGTAGTTATAAGTATGGTTAGAAGTAGGATAAGTATACTTATAACCCTTATCAGAGGACTTATAACTCTACTTATAACTATCCATGAACCTCCAAGTAGGGTTTAGGGTTAGGGTTGTCGCGGAGGTATGCTACGTCTTCGGGCTTCGGGAACCTTCCGGGACTAAGCTGTTGGGTGATTAGATTTTATAGCTCTGGAGGAGCTGAAGTCGCAAGGATTCGGATTTCTACTTGTAGATTGTAGGGCACCGGACCAAGAGTCCACGACGACAAGTCGCCGTGCGTGAGCACTTCGGGGCTGTGGAATTACATTAGAGGCTTTGGCTTTCTAGGGGTTGAAGGTTGTAGGGATTGGGGTTTCTAGTTGTAGGGGTCTCGGACCAAGAGTCCACGACGACAAGTCGCCGTTTGTGAGGCCGTTGGGATTTCATTAGAGGCTTTGGCTTTCTAGGGGTTGAAGGTTGTAGTGATTGGGGTTTCTAGTTGTAGGGGTCTCGGACCAAGAGTCCACGACGATGACAAGTCGCCGTTTGTCAGACGGTTGGGATTTCATTAGAGGCTTTGGCTTTCTACGGTTTTAGGTCGTAGGGATTGGGGTTTCTAGTTGTAGGGATCTCGGACCGAGGGCCGACGATGACAAGTCGCCGTGCATGAGCACTGCGAGTCTGAGCTGTTGGGATTACATTAGAGGCTTTCGCTTTCTAGGGGTTGTCGTAGGGATTGGGGATTCTAGTTGGGCCGACGATGACAAGTCGCCGTGCGTGGCTTGTGGGTCGGGCGGTTTGCTGCTGGGCTACACATAGCTTGGTTTGTTAATAGGTTTGGGTGCTAGAGCGACAAGACTGCTGATGCTCGGCAAGGATTCGACTCCCGGTTTTTGGGCTGCTTGAGGTTTGGTTGAACGACTACCGAGTCTAGGCTTAGGGATGGCTACTGAGCATAGAGCCTGGGACTGGGGATCTAGTTGGGATGCATAGGTATCAGCCTCCGAAACTGGTGTTCCGGGGTTCTTTAGGCTTCAGGGCTCAAGGGTTCTAAGATTAGGGTTTAGGGTTTAGATTTAATAAGATAGTTGGGAGTGTTGCTTCATGCTAGGCCAGTCGGGCGGACGAAAGGAGATCTAGAGTAGGGAACAGGCAATCCTATAAAGAAAAATAGTAAACCGATCCTACACGAGCGAAACTCCTAAACCGACCGAAGCCCTGACCCCTGTGGAACTCTGGAATAGAATAGTCTACTATTTAACACCGACCCGAACACAGAAAAGCAACATACTCCGGACATTGACAAATCTCCAGAAGCTCAAGAAGAAAGCACTACTAGCACCACGAATACTAACCCAATATCCCTAAACCCTAAACCCTGTACCGACACCCCGGGACCTTCCCTTTGCTTCTTAGCTCCATCTCCCTCAAGTTCGAAAGGGAAGTCCACCATTGCTTCCTCAGGATCCTGCATGGGCTCTTGGTCGGCACCCTCCAGGATCTCGCTGACGGTGCTTCGCTTCGTCTTCCTGAAGGAGCCACAAAAGGTGGGGTTTCAGGGGTAGGCCGTAACGACATATGATTTGACATGTTAAAGTTTAACCACGGCACTTGTTGGATCCTTTCACTCGCACAGCTACCCAGTACATCCAGTCGTCGCAGTACTCGGATTTCCTGTGCAAGAGACTAGCACCAATCACAGAATGTTTAGGGTTTAGGGGTTTGGGGTTTAGGGTGTCATCTCCTCTTGTACCCCGGCCGGCGTTCACAGCTTTTCTTGGCACCCTTGATTTTCTTCCTCAACCAAGGATACAGGACAGTAGTAGCACTACTAGTCTGCAAAAACAATGCATGAGGTGTCAGACAAGTAATTTAGCGAGACACTCAGACCATCCTTTCTCTTCCATCTCTTGCTCAGTGAGGAATTCGAACTCCGTCTCTACCATCTTCTCATTGATCTCTTCATACTTCCGGTTGACCCTCTTTGTGAAGAGTACCTGGCTCTACGAACCACAGCTAAAATCAAACACATAAGTGCCCCTCCCCACTTGCACTCGCACTGTTGCCAAGCGTGGCGGCGAAACGGGGTCACAGCCACATTTCTCAAAGGCACGGTACACTTCATCACGTGTTTCCAGATTCTTTTGGCTCTGGATGATTTCCAATGGCACCTTGTAGGTCCCATCCTCTTTGGCTGCACATATGCGTGCCAGCCTCTTCATAAGAGTGGCCTTGGTTATGGCAGCAGGAGGTGGGAAGTCTTCCACCGGGGCCTCGTAGTCCTCATCATCCGGCTCTGCTTTGCTCATCTTTTTGGGCTGGGCGATCACCTTTGGCTTCTGAGGCTCCGGGGCACTTGCTTTGGAAGGGGCTGGGGTCTTGGGTTTGGGATCGGATTTCGCACCCTTGTCCGGCGTGGTTGTGTTCGTACCCTTGTCTGGCGTGGTTGCCGATGCGACTGGTCGTGCGGTTGCGGCCTGGCTGGGTTCGGGGTTGGTGCTCGTACCCTTGTCCGGCGTGGTTGCCGAGGCGACTGGTCGTGCGGCTGCGGCCTGGCTGGGTTCGGGGTTGGAACTCGTACCCTTGTCCGGTGTGGTTGCCGGGGCGACTGGCGGTGCGGCTGTGGCCTGGCTGGGTTCGGGATTGGAACTCGTATCCTTTTCCAGCGCGGGCTGGGTGCACTCAGGGAGAGGCGAAGTGGGCCCCGGTGTGTCAGCTTCCTTTTGGGTGGCAGGCACATCGACTTCTGACTGCGGGGTCTCGGGCATCAACTCAAGCTGGGATCCCGTTTGGGAGGAATGCCAGGATGCGGCACGAGCAGGCTTCTCCTGTTGAGATGAAAACAACAGCGGCTTTAGGGTTTAGGGTTTAGGGTCTAGGGTGTAGGGTCTAGGGTTTCTTAAGCATGGCAAGAGGAGTTGCTGCCGGCTCCTGCGGTCTGGCGATGCCACGGGCCTGCATTTTGGCCTCAAAGCGACTTGGTTGTAAGATTCGGAGTTTAGGGTGGGGGTTTGGGGCGACACTAGTAAATCTAGTCTAACGACACCAAGGGACTAGCAGAGCCTGCCTCCTAGCAGCCAGCTCTTCGAGTTCTGGATCAGCCTCCATAGCCTCTAAGACTGGAGGAGAAGGCCCGGTTTGGCGAGCCCAAAAGTCCTGTAATGCGATATTTGGGGCTTGAGGGTTCGGGGTTAGGGTTATTTGGGGCTTTGGGGTTCGGCGTTTAGGGCTCGGGTTCGGGGTTTAGGGTTGCTTCGGGCTTTAGGGTCCGGGGTTTGGGGTCAGGGTTGGGGCCTCCCGGGCAATGCCGCCGGGATCCCGGGCAATCCCGCAGACATCCCGGGCAATCCCGCCGGCACTCCGGAGTGCCCAAACCCCCTCAGAACCAGCAAAATTCCGAAAATCCCTGCCAAATTCCGAAAACCCCAACCAAATCCCGAAAATCCCCGCCACAGCTCCTGAATCGCCCAATTTTAGGTGGAAGTCTCAAAACCTGTCTAGGGGGCGGACGTGGAAGCCTGTAGCTCTATACGAAAACGAAAGCCAACTCAAGCACCCCTCTCCTTTCGCTACTCCTCTCAAGCCCTAAACCCCAAAGCCTTTAAGCCCTAAAGCCAAGAACCCTAAAACCCACCAAAACTCCTAAACCCAAAACAACCCTAAATCCTAAACCCCCAAAACCCCTAAGCCCTAAACCCCAAAAGCCCTAATCCCTCTAAACTATAAACCCAAAAACCCTAAAACCTCTAAAAGTCCTAAACCCAAAACCCCTTAGCCCTAAAGCCCAAAACCCTAAAACCCCCAAAAGTCCTAAACCCCAAACAACTCCAAATCCTAAACCCCAAAAACCCCTAAGCCCTAAACCCCAAAACCCCTAAGCCCTATAAACTATAAACCCAAAAACCCAAAAACCCATAAAAGTCCTAAACCCAAAAACCCCTAAGCCCCAAAGTGCCTCATTTTCGCAGCCTGCCGACTCTGCATCAGTCCATCTCGTTTAGGAACTTTTGCCCTGCAAACTCTGTCCTAGCCAGGCATGACGACTTGTGGTGTCCAGGATGAAAGCGACAGACCGAACAGCAGTGCAAATGCGGAGGCAAAACTTTACGACCACAGTTCGGGCAGTCTCGAACAGGCTCCAGAGCAATGGCTTCAGGGTTCAATCTCGAGCACTTCTTCGAATGTCGCTCATTCTTGCGACAGCCACGGCAGCAGAAAGGATGATCGCTGAATGCAAAACGTACACAACCTTCTTTCTGACAGGGTCGCCGACTTGGGTATCCATCAACGGAAGCCATCCCAGCCTATGGATGATTCGTGAGCACACCTGCTAAGTGCTAAGTATGCGAACCTAGTCTGGGTCTTAAACTAAGGAATGACCTCTGCATCATCCAAAACTACGAGGCAGCACTGCCGGCACTCCGTGGCGGCTTGAGAGCCCGACTTGCAAACCGAGCGACCACTGGATCTCGCCACTTACGGTTCTATATTCCGGGATCTACCCATAATCAAACAGATAGATTGGGGCTCGGAAGTTTTTGGGCTTAGGGTTTTACAGGTTTGCGGGTTTTATGGTTGTAGGCTGGGAGGTTTAGGGGCTCGGAGGTTTTTGGGCTTAGGGTTTTAGGTTTTTTTATGGTTGTAGGCTGGGAGCTTTAGGTGCTTAGGCTTTCGGAGGCTTGCGGATTTTATGGTTGTAGGCTGGGAGGTTTAGCCCGCTTGCCCCCCCAGCAAAGAGTGTTCTTGGTTCAAATAAGGTGTCCGAGGGTGGACACCTAAAGTTAGAGGCAAGAGTGTTCTTGGTTCAAATTAAGGTGTCCGAGGGCGGACACCTTAAGGTAGAGACATCGGTTTTGTTTTCGGGCGTGGGGGGGGGTGGGGGGGGGGGGTGGCTTAGGATTTTAGAGGCTTGCGGATTTTATGGTTGTAGGCTGAGAGGTTGAGGGGCTTAGGGTTTTAGAGGCTTGCGGTTTTTATGGTTATAGGCTGGGAGGTTTAGGGGCTTTGGGTTTTAGAGGCTTCTGCTTTTTATGGTTTTAGGCTGGGAGGTTTAGGAGCTTAGGGTTCTGGAGGCTTGCGGATTTTATGGTTATAGGCCGGGAGGTTTATGGGCTTAGGGTTTTAGAGGCTTTGTGGAGTTTGGGTGTTGTGGGATTGGGCCTCGGGGCTTTGCAGAAAAGGCTTTCATAATATTGTTGTAAGAGCCAGAGGAGGATGCTTCTGTTTTCGAGTGCAACCTGAAGCCTTAAAGGCTTAAGAGCCCTGAGCCCCAGAATCTTCCAGCACCCATCCGAATACTTAAGTAAAGCCCGAAGACTGAAGGTAAATCCTAAACATACAAACTCCTGCAAGCGACCGAAAGCGTGGGACTGGAGGTCACCCCAAAGCCCTATTAATTGAAATTGTAGCCAAGGATGATGAACCCACCCTCGGCGTGATCCTCGTGGCTTGGTTGCGAGTCGCGAGCTGGAGTTCTCCATGGAGTCATAGTTGTCGGGTTCGGGATCTTGCCATACCGATACTATTTCTACTATACAGTATAAGAGCACTTCATAAAATTTTGCGAGGTGGAATTCTCGAAGGGGTCATAGTTTTCGGGTTTGGTATCTTGTGGCACCGATACAATTTAGAGGATGCAAGTAAGGGCACTTCTTCTAGAACTACACACAGAGCTCTATGGCCTCAGCGGGAACCTCGGGAACCCAACCCTCGAGATGTCATAGCCTGAATAAAGACCCTTTAAGAAATAAAGCACCATTACGAACAAAAGAAAACAGCTCCTAGGAGATCCAAAGACTAAGCTAGAACCCTGGCAAAACTATTTGGGCTGTAGAACCAAGTGAAGGGATCAAGATTCTTGTGGTTGGGATCCGGAGTTCAGGGCGGTCCTAATGCTAGAGCTAAGTAAAGTCAGAACCTCAGCCCGGGCCCAAAACGTGGCAGCTCTGCCGGAGTTGCCATCGTCCAAGCCGTGGTGCAGGTAAGCTGCACAAAAGGACATCACCGTACCTGCGGCTCGGCTCGTTTTGCGGGCTTCGTGAAGGCGAGGGGCCGAAAGTGCAGGACTAGCTAGCCAGTGCAGCCGTGCAGTCACATCGCTGACTCTTTTATTTCTTGCTTCGAGCACGAGAGATTTGCACTGCATCGCCAGAGCCATGAGTCATACTTCCTTTAAGAGGCAGTGTGTGGCACCCCAAAAACACGTGCGGTTCACGATTGCAGATGTATGACAACCTCTAGTAGGACACGAGCTCACACTCGCCTCTGGAAAGCAGACACCCATCACAGGTTTCTAAAGGGAGCAGCACTTGATAGGTTCATAAGAGGCCCAAGTCCGCGTGAACTCAGGATGGTCGCAAAAAGCTGGCCTGTCATCGCATCCCTTCACTTCAGCTCGCCTCGGATGGTTGTCTCGTGGGCGGACACTATTAGGTATAAGGGCTTGGGGTCTAAGGTTTTAGGGCTTCAGGGCTTATAGTTCAGGGTTCAAGGTCCCGATTGTCAAGGGCTTTAGGCAAGGGCTTTAGGATTCAGGGTTTTATTCACATCTATTCACAATGTGCTTATACCATCGGGGCACCCTGGTTTTTGTCCATCTTCAACCACTTGGCAGCATAGTTCTTAGCCGCCTGGAATAGCATAGCATCATCCTCCACTTCGAGCAGCACTGGCCGGCAATCCGTCCAGAAAAGGCCCTGCGAATATGCCAATGACTAGTTTGGAATATAGCAAGAAACGTGCGAGCTACGATTATTAGGGTTTAGGGTGTAGGGTTATAGTTATTGTTCACCCTAAACCCTAAACCCTAAACAACCAATCCTCCATCTTCCCGGCAAAGCGAAACCTGTCCCGAAGCACATAGTCGAATGCATCCCGGATAGCCGTCCAAATGGCCACTGTTCTCGCACCCTTTCCTGGATTCCTCGAAGCGAACGTGCCCTTCTTCTTCGGGGGAGCCGTGTCTTCGTCGTGGTTGTCCTTCTTCTTGTTCTTCTTCTTCGGGGGAGCCGTCACTTCGTCGTCACCCTTCTCGCCCTTCTTCTTGCCCTTCTTCGGGGGAGCCGTGTCTTCGTCGTCGTTGTCCTTCTCCTCCTTCTTCTTGCCCTTCTTCTTCGGGGGAGCCGTGTCTTCGTCGTCATCGTCCTTCTCCTCCTTCTTCTTGCCCTTCTTCTTCGGGGGAGCCGTGTCTTCGTCGTGCTTGTCCTTCTCCTCGTCCTTCTTCTTGGCCTTCTTCTTCGGGGGAGCCGTGTCTTCGTCGTCGTTGTCCTTCTCCTCGGGGTCCTTGTTCTTGCCCTTCTTCTTCTTCGGGGGAGCCGTGTCTTCGTCGCCACCCTTCACGGTGAGGTCCTTCTTCTTGGCCTTCTTCGGGGGAGCCGTGTCTTCGTCGTCGTCCTTCTCCTCGCCCTTCTTCTTGCCCTTCTTCTTGGGGGGAGCCGTGTCTTCGTCGTCGTCCTTCTCCTCGTCCTTCTTCTTGCCCTTCTTCTTGGGGGGAGCCGTGTCTTCGTCGTTGTCCTTGTCCTCGTCCTTCTTCTTGCCCTTCTTCTTGGGGGGAGCCGTGTCTTCGTCGTCACCCTTCTCGGCGAGGTCCTTCTTCTTGTCCTTCTTCGGGCCCTTGGCCATGGCAGGTTTTTTTAAAACCGGCGTATCCTCGTCGTCCTCGCCCCCATCGTCGTCGTGCAGATTGCTCTTGGGGTTCTTGCCCGTCTCCTTGAAGTCCATCTGCTGCTGTCTGCTGATCTGTGCCTGACGATTGTGCTCAAGCACCCCAATGCCTATAGACTTTAAGAAACTAATTTAAAGCATACTCGAACCCCCAAACCCGAAAACCCTAAATTATCCTGAGCTGCAGTCCCCGTCATCTTCCCGAAATAGAGCCGCCCCAATACTAAAGCCTAAAGCCTCGGGGGACGTTGAAAGAGTACTCGAACCCCTGATTTCCCCGAGTTAAAAGGCCGGCTTAGGGTTTAGGGTTTAGGTTTAGGGTTTAGGGTTTAGGGTTCAGGGTTCAGGGTTTAGGTTTAGGGTTTAGGGTTGTCTGAAACTTGTCAGTGGTCACTTCCTGTCCTGATGCCCGATTTATCCAAATCACAAAAGGGCTAATACTCAAGAGGATTGCCCGCCTTGCATGCCAAAAGCTCAGGAGTGCCCACAGCCTCGCTGGATTTCAGAGAAGCCACCTGAAAAAGGTCGCAGCTCGGCTGGCCAAATTCTCGATTGCAGGGCTAGGCTGGTTTAGGGTTTAGGTTTAGGGGTTTGGGGTTTACTTGGAGGTTCATGGGTAGTTATAAGTAGGGTTATAAGTAGGATAACTATAGTTATAACCTACATCGGGGGGGACTTATAACTCCACTTATAACTACCCATGAACCTCCAAGTAGGGTTTAGGGCTTAGGGGTGCGGGGATTTCTTTGATGGGGCCTCGTCTGCATCCTCCAGCTGGCTTGGCTCTTTGGATGGGGTGACTGCTAGGTCCTCCACAACCTCAACCGATGGGGCAACTGCTAGGTCCTCCATAACCTCAGCCGTTGAAGCCTGCGATGCCTCAACTGTTGGGGCCTTCGAAGCAACATTAGCACGGGCAGGCGTAGCCACTGGAATCGGAGCCACAGGTCCTTGCTTTGCATCTTCAAGAAGAGAAAGGTCGCTGGCAGCACCTTGCCTTGCAAGTGTTGTGGCCTCTGGCTCGTTGGGGATTGCAGCGGGCTCGGAGGGCAAAGCATTTTCCCCGAAAATATCCCAAAGACTGGTCCTCTGGTGGTCGATGTGCAGCGAACCTGAGATGTGATGGATCGGGTATTTTCTGGGTTTAGGGTTTTAGGGATTAGGGTTAGAGGATGTTTAGGGCTTAGGGTTTTAGGGTTTAGGGTTTAGGGTTTTAGGGTTTAGGGTTTATGGTTATAGGGGGCATCGAATGAGAGGTTCGGGCTTCAGGTGTCACAGTTCCGGAACACATGGCTTTGATCAAGGCTTTAGATTCATGATTGGGGGAATCAACTATCCTGCTGAGATTCCGTTCCACTTGTGGGCAGCCTGCTGCCCACTCAAAGCTGCCCGGCGATGAGCGATTCGCTGCCTAGGCTACTTAGCTTCATGGCGTGCAAGAAATCATCTTGAAATATTCAATATGTCGCACCATCTCACCTTTGCCAACATGAACCAAGATGCTCGATCTGAGCAAGTTCTCGCACAAGATCAACATCGCCATCATTGCCAGCATCATCGGAAAGGTTCTTTGATGTGGCTCCATAGGCTTCATAGGGGATCGGGTGGCCTAAGTCCTCATTCACTTCATATGCAATCGTGCCCACACAGGCCGAGGGCGGAGGAGGTGACCCGGCCTCCAAACCCATAGCTTCGGCTAGGTAGGGATCAACCAGCTCCAAGCGATCATCATCATCCTCCGGTTCGGTTAAGGTAGCCTCTTCCTCGGCTTCCTCCTCTTCCTTTTCCTCATCAAACCCAGCATCATCCCCCTCATCACACAAGGCTTGAAGGTTCCTGCGTGAACGAACCTTCGGGGCCCAATGCTTCTCCAGCTCGCCCCAAAGTGCAGCGAGGTTGCTATCCTCGGATCACGAGACTTGGCGTGGAAGCTTTATGGCACCCCGAGCTTTTGAGACCCCGAAATCCGAAATACCGACGAAGCATTGAAGACTAGAAACACTCCTGCGGGAGCCGTCGTTTCGTCTGTTCATGTAGCTCAGAAACATTTTGAGGCTGTGGGACTCGCAATGGACCAATCCCCTCCGAGGGGTGATACTGATGTCCTCGAAGAACTTGGCCACCTGGGGAATTAAGTATTTTAGTGTGCTTTGGCAGGTTTAGGGTTTAGGGTGTAAGGTTTAGGGCTTAGGGGTGTTTAGGCCTAGGGTAGCAGAAGAGACAAAAGTGAACCTACCCCTAAGCCCTAAGCCACCTGCTTCTTCAGTGCAGCAACGGGAGCAGTCTTGTTTGGAGCATCTGAGGAAACTGTAGGGCAGTAGGTTCGCACCAGAGCCAGGATCACCCTCCAGTTGCATTTCAGGCTTGCCTTATTAATGAGACCGGTCTTTGATGGATCGGGCCAAGTCAAAAGGCTCTTTCGCCTGCGAGCACCTTTCCGAACAACAGGGTCCTCTTCCCAAGCCTCCCACAATCCCTCGATGTCTGGGACCGCCCTCTTGGACCCTTTCTTTTTTGGGGTGACTGGCACCAAAGCATCCGGTGCCGCCATCTCGAAGTTTCGGAGTTTCTACGTGACAGATCCCAGGGTCTAGCGAAATGAACAAGCTATGTCTCGGAAGTCTATCACCGAAATCATGTGAAATGTGCAATCCGACCTCGCTGGTCAAACTGCTATGATCAGGCCAGAAAGCTGCACGAGACATGTGTGCGACATCACAAACATCAAGCACATTCGGACTGATGCAAAGTGCAGCGAAAGGGTGGGCACTCGAGGAGCAATGGTTCGCCCGGCCTAGCACCAGTCACTCACTGTACGATCGCATCTCAGCGTGAAGCGAGCTGGCCTGCTGCACTCCGGATTTCGCGAAATGCCTGCGAGAAGTTTTTCTGGAGGATGAACGATTAGCAACCGGCTTTAAACAAGGCAGTAGCACCCAATGTGGCAGCGAAGGAAGCCGTCCATGGCCTATCAATCGATATCAATCGAAACCACAGTTGATGAAGAAAGTATGTGAGCCTCCTGAACACCACTGGCTCACTCCATTCAGTACCTCTCTTCACAGAATTGGTGGCAGCATGCTTCAGCTATGTGTTGTAGGGCACCGATAGGGCACCGACCCATCGATCCTCAGCAAAGCCTGGCGTACAACACAATTCGAAAAGAACTCTTAATCATATCTGAAGCGAACCTGTGGCACACGAAGAAAATGTAATCCGCCGGGACGAAGAGCTCCATGAAGACCTGGGCCAAGGGCGAGAGAGGGAAAGCTAGAGGTATAAAACGAAGCCCCAGAATTCTCAGCATAGGACGGGCCCAACTGAAATCGACTGAATACCTGCGGAAGCTGGAGTGGAACAACTTAATTATGAAGACTAGGCCCACATGAAGTGTCAAAGCAGTGGTGGCTCTTTGCAGCCCTGCTGTGCAATCTCAGGTCTCGCCTCCTATGCTTCCTACTGCACAGACGAGCCGGATCCAGGCTGCTGCTTCGACCGTTCGGTCTGCTTCTCGGGAGTCTCTGGCAACTCGGAGAGTCCTGGGTAGGGTTTAGAGTTTAGGGTTTGGGGTTTAGGGTTTGGGGTTTTGGGTATCGGAAGAATGCAAGCGAAGATTCTTAAAGCTTCTGATGCCTCCCAATACTTCTTCGCCAGCTCTCTGACCGATCCCCCCTGCTTGTAGTTGGACACCAACACACCAATCTCGTCGTGGCTGAGGACATCCTTAAGTAGTATCTTCAATGACATCGTGACATTATCTGATCTTCAGGGAATAGTTGTGATCACAAATAAATGCCACTCAGTTGCATGGGCTTTGCGATCCGGCCAAAGGGTCCACTGCACTTCATGGAACCATGCCAAGGACATATTGTGGAGTCCTTCCAAGAGCCCCAACACAAGCCCGGATCCTTTGAACAATGTGCTCACCTTTAGATCGCTGTCCTGCCGCCTCGAGCAGCTTGTAGCTTTCCATAGCCACAGGAAGATGATCGGACATGTCGGTGCCCCAAAATCTAAAACTTAAAGCTCACCAAAAGCTCGAGCCCCAAAACCTCTTCTGATCTCAAGCTCCCAGCTCATGAGCACAGTTCACAGCATCATCCAGCAAGCAGAGCAGGTGGGCGTGCCTTCGGGGGCTGCCCGGCGATCGGAGCTCGCTTTCGAGAAGCGAAAAGATGCTGCAGATACCCAAAAGAGCATTTCCGCCGCCACTTATGCAATCCCGCCGACAACCCCTCAAACCCGCAGAGATAAGACTAAAGACGCCTTTACCCGGCGCCGGCAATAATTTTAGACGTCAAGGATTCTCCAGGTATAGGGACTACTTTAGGGCCAAAGTACATACTATTTGGGTACATGGACCCGTAGGGTTAGCTGTCGACCCGCGTCCTGATTCCTTGTTTCTAAATGGTTTAGGGTTAAGCCGTGGTTTAGGGATTAGGGAAACCTTGTTTCTGAATTTGACAGTTTAGGGTTTAGGGTTTAGGGTAGGGTTCATGCCATATAAGGACCCTTTAGAAGCCCTGCAACCCCCCATGCAGGTGACTCCGACTCGGCGCCGTCTTTGGCGTCCAGAAACCACGTGGCTGAGGACGGATCGGGGGTGTGAACTGCTAATGGAATGATCCTGCATCATTGGCCACACGAAAATTTTGGAAAAATGATGTAAGCCCTAAACCCAAAGCCACTAAGTAAGCCTGAACCCCGAAATCCTATACACCAATCCAATATTCCAGAATTTCCATAGTTGAGGGTACTTTAACTTATTCAGAAGATTTTAGTTGGTTGTCTTAGCTTGAGTCGGGTTTGGTGGTTATGTTCTTAGGACTTTGGGCCTTCGGCTTTTGGTTTCAGGATGTTGTAGGTTTGCTCATGTTGTATGTTGCGAGTGCTGAAAGAATTGTCCAGGATCTGTCGCTCATTTGGGTCGAGTCAAGTGGCATCAACTGACCTTTCAGCGATAATCCGGAACACAGCGCAACGCCTGGACCCGACCTGCTTTAAAGCGCTAAGCCGCTAAATGAGCCAAGAACGCATTTTGCGCACCCTACACCTTTAATCTCAAACGCTAATCTGCTACGGCCCAAACACCCTTTTGACAGAGAGATCACTGGGAAGAGACTTCCTGACAATGAGGTCTAACCCAAAAGGGAAGCTATCTTACCTTGAGGGTCCATGTACTCAACTAGTATATACATTGGCCCGAAAGTTCTTATGCAGGAACCACTTTAAGGCCAAATTATGTACTATTTGAGTACATGGACCCTCAGGGTTAGGGCTACTTCCGACAGGTCCTCTGACCCTGTGCGAAATCGGAAAGACAATTTCCCAGAGCCTTGGACCCAAAGCCCCGAAACCCTAAACGCTGAATGCCTAAACACCTCAAGCCTTAAGCCGCCCCATTAGCCGCTAAGCCCCATAAGCTCTAAACCCTGAAACCCACCTACTAACCCAAAATCCCCAGACCTTCTTGAATACCAAACACCCCTTGAAAACCTAAACCCCAAACCCCCAACTGAACGCCAAAACCAAAACCCAAAAACCGTAAGCCACCTGTGAGGGCAGCCGAGCGCCCGAAGAACCGGGCGCCGACTGAGGCGGCATCCCAAGGCCTTTGATTCAAAACAGTCTTATGTTGATGATGATGATGATGATGATTATTCTTACTTTTACTATTCTCATTACTATTATTATTGGCAGGTTTTTGGGTTGAAGTTTAGGTTTAGTGTTTAGGGTTTGGGGTTCATCGGGTTGCTCCTTGCTTTAAGGAATTAGGTTCGAGGACGTGTTTTCCAAAATTCGGGTTTAGAAGTTGGGTTCTGGAGCCGCGGTTTAGGGGTTAGGGTTTAGGGAACGCACTGTCGCTGTTGGGCGTTGGGGAAGGAAGCACCCAGAGACCGGTACCGTTTCATGAAGGCATATGGCTTTTAGCAAGATGAGGTGGCTATGTTTAACCTAAGCAAGCTTGCTGGCGTCAAACAGGCAGGGACACAAGGCTCCTTTGACAATTTCAGCCCCGACAAAGCCTTTCACTTTAGAGCCCCAATTCATGTTAACACCGACGTAGACCCTTGCAACTACTCTGCACGCCGTCGCATAAAACACGTTATCAAGACTCTGCAGCACCCGTTGAAACTTTTTCAGACCTCCTTTCCAACATCCTTACAAGACAGTCGTGAGAGCCCTAGACGACCCCAGTAAGACCCTCATAAAGCAGAAGCCAGAAAGTTGGAACATCATTATACTCATGCCCTGAAGGTACAGTATAGGGGTTTCCAGCACAAATCGTCCTGACTCCATGTTCCAACATTCTGGGATTCACTAAGACCCCTATAAATCCCTTACAGGCGAGAGGCCCCAGCTATACTACGTACCATTATGGATGTTTTTCCATGATGCTGTACCCTAAGGGTCCATGTACCCAAATAGTATCCACTTTGGCCTTAAAGTCTGTAGTCCCTAAAAAGGTACTTTGGGGCCAAAGTATATATTATTTGGGCACGTGGACCCTTAGGGGTATGTATGGAGGCCTCAGGGTAGGCTCAACCCTAAACCCTAAACTCTAAACCCTAAACCCTAAACCCTAAACCGCTCTTATACTCCTTTTAGATCTCACGGAGCCCTGGAGGAAATCGGAGAGGCCTGCTGGCCCGACTCCTGGGGGCCAGGCGCCAGCGACGTCCGTGGTATCTTAGGGGGGTTTAGGGTTTAGGGTTTAGGGCTTCAGAGGAAACTGAACAGCTAGTTCGCAGCTATATGGAGTGGTGCTTCATACCAAAAACGTAATGTAGTCAGCTGCCTATACCCATGGCTCCAGATCGTGCAAGTCCGAACTCCTAGAGTCTACACCCTACGAACCTTGCTTAGCCCTATTTTTATGGCTGAGACGGCTGCGAAAGCCACAGGCCCAAAGCCCTGAAGCTGTGTGAAGAGGTCCCATCTGCGATGTTGGCACGGGGATTCGTCGGTAGGGTTTTCGGTGTCGCGCTCAGGGATGCAAGCCGCGCCTGCTTCGCGTCGCTAGTCCCATTGCAGGAAGGTTCGACGAAACGCGGACAGTCCCGTAACAGTCATACCACAATGAAGCCTCTTCTAAGTAGGAATGAAAGAAGGCCTTGTCATAAAACCCATGTTATTCCGTAGGAAAGCCCTGTAGCTTTTTTCTCATAGAAGCCTTGTAGCGGACCCTTTAAGCGGCCCCTAAAGCCTACACTCCATTCATAGAACCTTTTACAGACTTTGGACTAAATCCACAGCCCCTTCATCATATAAAGAAATCTGACAAAACCTCCACACTTTAATCCCTTTAGAAAGTTCCGACTCAGCCGAAACCCTCTAGAGATCCTTTTAAAGAGTTATAGTAGACCCTGAAAGCCCTACCCCTAACACATATACCTTTATCAAGCCTCTTAGAGTCTTACCCTGAGGGTCCATGTACTCAAATAGTATATACTTTGGCCTTAAAATAAACCCTATATAGGTACTTTGGGGCCAAGGTCTATTCTATTTGAGCACTCGGGCCCTCAGGGTTAAAGAACCCTTTGACGAATTCGGAGGCCCCCGAGCCACCAAGCGATGCTTCGGGCCATGCGACAAAGCCTCCTGGCTCGGCGAGGGACGGCCGAGGACGAGGACGGAAGGGTCGTCCTAAACCCTAAGCCCCTGTTTCATAAATTTTGGGGTTAGAATGTTTCATAAATTTTGGGGTTAGAATGTTTCATACATTTTGTTTCATATATTTGGGGGTTAGAATGTTTCATAAATTTTGGGGTTAGAATCATGTGATGGGGCTTCCTGTTTTTCTAGGTTGGCAAGTGTCCTGGGTTGAGTCGAGGAGATTGAGGCTAGAAATCGTGAGCATGAAAGGTCAAGACGTCCACAGGCTTGCTGTGGTTTAGGGTTTGGGTTTGGGGCTTGTACAGCTCAGGGCTTGGAGTGTGCGGTGCAGGGGCCCACCCTTGTCAGGAATACGCCGTCTGTATTTGATGGGGATGTGCTCCGGGGCTTAAGATCCTAAACCTCACGCCTCAAGCCTTAAGCTTAGAACTTCCGTTCCCAAAGAAGCAGCCCTACCTAGTAACTCCTGTTATCCACTTCATGGACCGGCTGCGTCCCTGCCGACATCTCCCTGAGTGCCCACTTTACTTGGCGTTCTTCTGGTTGGCTCTTCGGACTTTAACATTTCAGGTATCTATATGGAGCATACCTTCAACCCTAAACCCGAATCCTTAAACCCTA